AGGAAGCATGGATGAAAATAATAGGGAAATTCTAGGACCTCTCCTGGGCATCTAGGTGGCACAATGGAGAGAGCATTGGGCTTGGAATCAGGAAGACTCCTCTTCCTGAATTCAAATCTGGCCTCAGACACTTACTAGCTGTGCGACCCTGGGCAAGTCACTTAACTCTGTTTACCTCAGTTTCTTCACCTGCAAAATGAGTTCTCCTCCCACAAGAGCCAAACATAGTGCCTTGAAAGAGTACAAACTTAATGTTTGTTGAATTGAATAAAAATATTGACACCTTATTTAGCACCCCACTGCTATATTCAGGTACCTAGAACCTGTTGCTTTCATCATCTATGCTTAAGCTTATAGCTCACAAGTTTCTGTTTCCGCTCACCCTCCCACAGCAAAGTGGTAAGTTGGACCTGGAGTCAGGAAGATATGAATTCAAATCCCATCCTTGATAGTTATTAGCTGTATTACCCTAGGCAATTCTCTTTATCTCTCTCAGCCTCAGTTTCCTCAACCTTAAAATGGGGATAATAATAGCACCTATTTCACAGGGCTGTTGTGATAATCAAATGAGATAATATATACACAAAGTGCTTTGCAAATCTTGAAGAGCTACATCACGTTAGCTATTGCTAAGACCAAAACCCAATATATGACATTAGAGTGAAGTAAAGGGGATTTACTCAAAACAAAGTACAGAGTAAATAACATGTTAAACCAAGTAACAAATGCTCTCAGATCACTCATTTCCCTAACTTACCACCTCCAAGACTGAATCCATTCACCTCAACTCCCCATGTTGGCTTACCAATCTGACTTGGTAAACCTACAGGGACAGGAAAAAAGGTAGGCAAATCCACTTATTTCCACTGCCTGTACTAGCTTAGCAGCCTGGGACTGTAATCTAGGGAATGAGAAAGAGAGTCTACAGATGCCCACCAGCTGCTCATTATACCTAAAGGGCACTAATTTTCTTTCTCATTGTCTGTTTGTTAGGCAATTGGGGTTAAGTGACTTGCCCAGGGCCACACAGCTAGTAAGTGTCAAATGTTTGGTCTGAGGCTGGATTTGAACTCAGGTCCTTCTGACTTCAGGACCAGTGCTCTATCCATTGCACCACCTAGCTACCCTTTTTTTTTTCTTATTGCCCTTGTAGTCTGCTCCTGCCCAGCAACTGGGGAATGACTGAATAAGTTGTGGTATATGAATGTAATGGAATACTATTGTGCCATAAGAAATGATGAGCAGGCAGACTTCAGAAAAATCTGGAAAGACTTGTATGATCTGATACTGAGTGAAGTGAGCAAAACCAGGAGAACATTGTACACAATAACAGCCATGTTGTGTGATGACTAACTTTGATAGACTTAACCCTTCTCAGCAATGCAAGGATCCAAGACATCTCCAAAAGACTCATGATGGAAAATGCCATCCACATCCGGAGAAAGAACTATGGAGTCTGAATGCAGATTGAAGCATACCGTTTGCTCTTTTTTTTCTATTATGTTTTGTTTCCTCTTTCTTGTGGTTCCTCCTATTGGTTCTAATTCTTCCTTACAACATGACTAATGTGAAAATAGGTTTAATAGGAATGCATATGTAGAGCCTATATCAGATTGCACACCATCTTGGGAAGGGAAGTGTGGAAGGAGGGGGAGAAAATTTAAAACTCAAAAGCTTATGGAAGTGATTGTTGATAACTCAAAATAAATTAATAAAAAATTAAAAAGAGAGCTGCTGGTGTTCTACTGGGGACTGAAAGGAAGACTCCTGCTTCCCACGCCAGGTTGGCATCTTTAGAGGAAGCTACTTCTCAGGAAGCAGAAGCTCAGGGCCCCAGGATCAGGATTTTATGGCACAATCCTCCTCTGCCATTTCTTCTCTCCATCTCATCTTGTCTTTGTTATCTAATACTTTTTGTCTGCTGCTCCATCATGCTGTCCTGTCCCTCCCTAGCTGTGCTTAAGGAGAGACATACTAGCAAACCTCAGAAAGGTGGAGAGACATCAGACTCTCCCCATCTGATACCAATATATTGCCTATAAACACCAGGCTCTGTTCTTTGCCTCTGTTTTTGTCCTTTCCTGTTTTAGATGAAAAAAGACTGGGGATGACTTGGAAAAGGCCAGAAGAGCAAGCCACTAAAAATCTGAGCTGCTGGAGTCCCATGCTGGGTTCTGCCAGAAGTCAGACAATAAAAGATCAGAATCCAGAGCAGCCTGTTCAATTCAGTCCAACAACAGGGGTGTAGTCTCAAGCACCCATTCAGCCATGGTGCACTTGGAAGGGAACTTGGTGGGGCAAGTGCTATCTAGAAACTGCACTAAATCTCAGCAGACTCTTCCAGGGACCAAGGTGGTATTGGAGAGAGAGGATTTGCCCCAAGTGGTGGGGAAGAAGCAAATGTTTTTATTTTTGTTCTTGCTGTATCTTCAAAGTAAATAACCCCTGAAAGAGAAGGAAAAAAACAGTCTGCCATGCCATAAAATCTCCTTTTCACAGACCTAAACAAATATTCCTTCCTGAATCTTGCTGAAATCTTCTATTTCTCTCATTTTACTCCCATTAGTTGTTTTTCCTATAGCTAGGTGGTGCAGTAGTAGACCACTGGATTTGTAGTCAAGAAGACTGTAAAATAATTAGGATAATAATAACACCTACCTCCCAGGCTTATCATGAGAATCAAATGACATACTCTTTGTAAAGCACTTAGCACAGTGCTTGGCACATAGTACATGCTATATAAATGCTACCTATTGTTGTCGTTGCTGTTGTCATTACCTGAGTTCAAATCTGACCTCAGACATTTAACAGTTGTATGACCCTGAGTAAGTCACCTGACAATCTCTTTTAGCCTCAGTTTCCTCATTGTAAAATGGGGATAATAATAGGACCCCACATGGTTGTTGTGAGGATCAGATGAGATATTTACATACCTCAATGTGCTCTATAAAAGCTATCCTTATTATTACTATTATTTCCTAATATGTAGAAAACTGCAAAAGTACATATAAAGGATAAATTTTGCAAAATATTTTAGAAAGGATTCAACACAACAAGAAATATGAGTGACAGCAGTAGGACTTAGAGGAAGTAAAATGAAAAGACTTTCACTTAAAGCAATCCCACTTTGAGTGTGGAAGAACTTGAGAGTCAGCAAATGGGATAACCTAAGGAATCTGGATTTAGTGTGGATTCAGTTTACGGAACGTGATAATAGGAACAGAGCTAAATGTAAGATACCTGGTCCTAGAGGAATTCTAATTCATAGTAACTGGAAAGGAATGCAAGAAGTGAGAGTCAGGTTAAGTGTAGGAGATTCAGCATGAGAGAAGAATTCCATTCCTCCAGATCACTGGAGCAGCTCAGGAATCCCCGACACACTCAGATCTGCCTCGGGAAGGGTTTCTCAGGACTTCATTGTTCATTCTGGGCATTCAGGTGGGAGGGATTCAGTTATTCCACACAGTTTCCCACAATCTTGGGAATAAGAAGAGAAAAACTCAGAGGACTTTTTGACTCATGAAGAAATTCAGCTTTGCCTGATCATTGCAAGAGAGCAAGGACCAATGGAGGCAGGGAAACCACGAAGTCGTTTCCCTCCTCTGGGCCTCATTTCCTGTCTCCAAAATGAGACATTTGGACCAGATGATCTCTAAAGTCCCTTTCAACTTGTACATTCTATGAATTCTATGAATGTCAAAGAATCTGCCCGAGAGAGATTCAATTTCACAAGCAATCTCAAAGGATTTGTGATAAACCACTGCAGTTACTCTGTTTAGAAAACTGGTTTGTTTTGCTGAAATGTTTTGAAATGTTCAGAGGGAAAAAAAAGCAATGCCCCCTCTACCCTTCTATGAATTAAAAGCAGGTCTTCTAGAGAGCTGGCTTTAACTAGTTTAGTATTCTTAGGGGTTGTTTCCCCTTTCCTCTTCCAACCAACTAAACTAGTTAAAGAATAATCTGTAGTGACTTTATGCAAAATAGATAATCAAGTGCCTCTGGGCCAGGCTGGTAATAGGGACACAGACCAGAATATTTGTAATGTTGCCCCCTTTAAAGATTGAGGCAAAACCCAGGTAGAATAAGCAGTTTTCAACTGGGAATGTTGTCATTACCCTTCACCTGGCAGCAGATGCTGGGATTACAGGCACAAGTGCCTGGGAGAATCTAACTAGATTTGCTTACAAATTTGTTGTTCAGTCATTTCAGTCACGTCTGACTCTTTGGGACCCTATTGGGCTCTACTTGGCTAAGATACTGGAGAGGCTTATCATTTCCTTCTACCATTCATTTTACAGGTGAGGAAACTGAGGCAAACAAGGTTAAGTGACTTGCCCAGGGTCACACAGCTAGTGTCTGAGGCTAGATTTGAACTCATGAAGATGAGTCTTCCTGACTTCAGGCCTGGAGCTCAATCCACTGTACCACCTAGCTGCCTCTTGTTTACAAATACAAACATATTAAGAAGAGTAAATTATAGATCATTTAAAAGGTGAAAAAAATGGGGCCAAAGGATTTAAAGAGTCTAAATATGAAAAAAGATTGGAATTCCTTACCTTTCTTTAGAATGTTAAAAAAAATGGTTATTTATGACGTAGACCATGGGGCCTGGAATTAAGCTACAAATATTTCTTTACCATTATTGTAGGTGAACTCCCTGCCTTCAGTTTCACTCTGTTCCTGTCCATTCCGCCATATTTGTGCACTTCTAACATAATTTTCACTGTATAACTCCCTCTACTGAAGAACATATAACAATTTTCTACTGACTAAAATAACAAAGCACAACTTTATGTTATCCCTTCAAACTGAACCACTCCAAATTCCTACCTCATCACTCATTCCATAATGTGATCTCTCTCCTCCAGTCTTTTAATTGCTTATTATCCATGACACATAGCTTGCTAATTTTCATGTTGCTCCCACTTCAAATGCCCTTCCTCTTCATTTCTGCTAATAATATTACATATTTCTCTCATATGGCTCAGCTCAAAATTCACCTGCTTCCCAGGATCCTTCGGTGACCAAGCCATTCTGCTTATTCTTGTAATCCACAATCCTCCTCAGCACTTACGCACGCGTTCAAGTTTTATCTTATTACAGTCTATTGTTCATACATTGCTCAATAACTGTTTTCAAGTTGTTACACGTGAGCACATTTTGATTCCCCAACAAGGGATCTTGTTCCTTCTTAGCTGTTCCAAACAGACTAGTACAGTGCAGAGCACACAGTAGGAATTCAACAAATGCTTTCTAAATAAACGAATGAGTGTGTCACCACCAATTTCTAACTAAATATGGCAAAGAAAGAGTCTTTCATCTTCTTCTTCCACAACTCAACTACAGTGCCCTACTTATTCATCACCATGGCAACACTGCTATTTCCAGCTCCTCCCAAGCAAGAAATCTGTGAGTCATTTTTGACCTACTCATTGCGTGTGCTTTTTCCCACCATCCATAGTTAGACATTTTCCTTCTTCATTCCCATTCCCTTAATATTCACAGACGCAGGACTCTCAGTATCATAGAGCCTCTGCTGGGTTCTTCCCTCCTAGAGTTGGAAGGCACCTAAAATTGGAGCCCATCCAATCCAACTTACATCTGAACAGAAAACTCCCTTACAAGATACCCAAATGGTCATCTAGCCTTGGTCTGAAGACTTCTAGGGAGTCAGTCAGCAAGTAGTTTTTTAAGCATCTATTTGTGCCAGGCACTGTGCTAAGCACTGGAGCAGGGGAAATTCATTTTTTGTGATATGTTTTGTACAACTCCAGTTGATTTTTGTAGCTTCTGTCTGTTATTGCTAGCTCTACCCCACCCTGAGGCCACATAGAACAGTTCATACTTAAAGTAGCTATCATATCTTCTCTAGGAAAAACATTTCCAGTTCTTTCAATCAATTGTCATTGGACACATTTTGCAGTCCCTTAGAAAATCATCCTAGTCACTTACCCTGCTCTAGACATGCTCCAGTTTTCCCCTAGCCTTCCTAAAATGTCTACACTGAACACAACACACCAGAAATAGTCCAATCATAGAAGGGAGGGCAGATTGGGGGAAGGGGTATTCAGAATGCACGCCATCTTGGAATGGGAGAGGGGAGAGATGGAGAGAAAATTTGGAACTCAAAATCTTGTGGAAGGGAATGTTGAAAACTAAAAATAAATAAATTAATTTAAAAAATGAAGAGAAAAAATACCACTGATCTGTTATTATTTAAAATGTTACATAGCATAAGATCAAGGACAGATCCCTGAGTACTCTATCAGAGACCTCCCCTACGTTGACATTAATACTTTGTGTCTGGTCATTCAGCCAGTTCTAAATGTGTCTAACTGTCCTCTTATCTAGCTTACATCTCTCCATCTTGTCCACAAGAAGAGCATGGGAAACTCTGTCAAATGCCTTGCAGAAATTTATATATACTATGTCTATGGCATTCTCTTGTCCCATCCTCACTCTAGTCTGCCAAAGTATTAACACTTAGTATTAAGGAAATAAGACTAATCCGGTATGACCTACTAGATTGTATGTTGGTTTGTACTTAGTACTATTTAGAAAATTTTAGAATATTTCATTCAATTATTCACAAAAGTCCTCATTGTAGGTGAATAAAGATCAAATTAGAAAATGAGGTCAAAAGGTATAAAAGTATGGGTCTCCAATCCAGGAAAAGAAGCATTCTTCCGTAAACTAACGACATGAAGGGGGAATAATCATACAACGTGTAGCTTGGGAAGGAGGCCCATGATACCACCTATCCCCCACTTCCAGACCATTTGCACCAACAAAGTCTATAGTTTCATTTTCCAACCCATTGGCATTCTCTCCTTCCTTTGCTATAATTTTATTTTTTAGCTCTGACTTCTAGAAACCAGCGGAAAACCCTGTTACTAAAAGTGTCACTCTCACAACAACTACAGGGTTTGACATGGATTTCTTCCTTTACTAGCAGCAATCATAATTGCATTTGCAGCAATCTACCATTTCCAAAGATAGAAAGGGAATGGCCTTCATTATCTTCATCATCATCATTGATAGTATTTTCATAGGGCTTTAAGTTTTTGCCAAGTGCTTTACATATAGTATCTCATTTGTACTTCACGACAACCCAGTAAGGTAGGTGATATTAATATCTCCATTTTACAGGTAAGGAAACTAAGGCTGAGATAAAGTGGCCTACCTAGAGTCTGACTGCTAAAAATAGTCTGAAGCAGGCTGTGAACTTAGGTCTTCTTAACTACAGGTCTAGCGCTCTACCCACTCTACCACTTAGCGGTCATCGTGGCCTGAAAGGTGGATAGGCAATGCTACCAACCACAGAATGTACCAGTGACCTTGCTAGTCCAATAGCATGATTGGAAAGCTGTAGCTTTACCTTAACACACCCCTACTCCAATGTAACACATCATCATGTGGAGGGACCCTATTACCAAAATCAAGGGGAAAATGGTCATTGTCAAGGGGCAAGAACTCTGAATGGCCAGTGTGAAGCTTTTTTTTAATGTTTCTAGTTGTGAGGCAGAATCTTAAAACTATACAAAAGAGAATTGTTATATTATGCTCTTAATTGAGGATAAAGGAGGATTGGTTTCCATTTTAGGAATTTGGCAGGAAGGATATTTGAGCTTCAGAAGGCAATAGAAAGCAAAACTACTTCCATCCTTCTTCCTCCTCCCTTTGCACTCCCTACCACCACTACCACCACTACCACCACCACCACCACCACCACCACCACTGCTACCACCATACACACACTTCCAAAACAGCACAGTGGACGGAATGGTTGGTTATCTGTCAAAGGGTAAGGGATGTAGAGATCCCACTAAACAACAGCAACAGGATGACCTATAAATCCTAAGAACCTGATCTGAAGACCTAGATCCCATTCCAAGGCCTTGTTTCCAGCCTACCTGTAGTAACACCACCAACCTATTGAGGGTTGATGAATAATGGTTCAGAAGATTTAACTGCTGCAGAGGCCTATGGGACTTGCTTTTGGCAGTCTCTTTGTTGCATCTTAGCATACCCTAACTCAAGGTTAATTACCCTGCCAGGTCTTTGCCTTAAGGATCAAAAGAGGTAACATCTTTAACGTCAGTGGTAAATTTTAAAGCCTATGTAAATGTCTAGGTTAGAAAGTACGGCATAATGAGAAGAGTGCTCTATTTGCATGGAGCCAGTAGAGACCTGGGTTTGAATTCTGCCTTCAATACTTCGTGACCATCTGAAAACAGAGATAATAATATCTGAAGCACCTATCTCATGGACTGTTGTGAAAGTCAGAGATGAACTGAATGAGACAATGTGTGTAAAGAATATTATAGACTTTACTGGCAACAGTTTTAATTATCAAATGAGATAACAACAGAGAAAAGATTTTGCAAAAGTCTATTATAGGTCTATGTTCATACTACCTACTGTTGTTGTTAATATAATAATTAACCTCAACTTGTATTCCTGCAATATCTGCTTTCTTTGTCCCTCTTCAATCTAAGAACCCTCATCCCAAGACAGATGGTACCTCTTGTTTCTTATTTTCATGAGGCATTTTAGGTATGTGTCCACTCAAGCCAGATTGCATAGTGCCCAATTCCGTGGCTATGAGAGACCAAACTGTACATGTTTACCTGCTATTGGTTATGGCCACCACCCTGAAGCACCATTAGCCCATTCTGAATGCTGATTGATTGGAGTAGTAATTGTGATTCTTCCTTGAAACTTTATAAAAAAGCTGAAACTGTAGTCATCTACTCAGATCACCTTAACCTGGACAGTCCATTTTGGCCACTACTTGTATGAAGTGAAGATGCCCCAGTATGGATCTGGAACCTCCTCTTGTCTTGGTCACTTGCCTCTCCTTGGGCATTGGTGTGCTCCATGCTTGTGGTATGTTCCTGGCCAGACTCATGCCTAGGATCCTCAGACTTCTCTATCTGTCTCCCTATGCCAACCTAAGCTAGAAATAAAAATGACTCACTGTGACTTTTTTCCTCTTGAATTTCCCCATCAGAATTTGGTCTGGCACAGTTTCTGGATCTGTTTGGAGGAATTTGAGTGGGAGGACAAAGTTCGTTTACATTTTTTCCTGTTCCTCTGCCATCTTGGCTCTACCTCCTTCTGCAAAACTTCTCAAAAATGTTGTGTATCTAATGCTACTTGCTCATTTATCACCTTCCCAACCCTTTGCAATAAAACTTCATTCCTCCTTCACCTCTCTAAGATTGCTGTCTCAAGGGTCACTAATGACCTAATTTCTAAATCATAGAATTTAGAACTTGAAGGTACCTTAGAGATCATCTTATTCAATCATTTCATTTTACGGATTAGCAAACTGAGGCTCAGACAGATTAAAATAGTTGCCCAAGGTCACACAGCTAGAAAATAACAGATGAATATCTTTTGTCAATTCTCAATTTCCTTAACCTCTTAACAAAACTTTCCTCCCTTAGCTACTGTTATCAAACTCTGTACCACTTCCTACCTTTCTAACCATGCCATTTTCTATTTATTTCCTCCTCATTCTCTTTCTAACCCCTTAATGTAGGTGGTCCCAAAGGCTTGTTTGGGGCTATAATCTCTTCTCTATAGATTTTTTTTCATGCAGCAATCTTGTTCAACCCTATCACTATCCCTATGCGGACAACTCTCAAATCTACAAACCCATTTCTGACTTCCGAGAGCCAGAACACCCTCTCCATGTGCCTATACTCCATCTAATTCATGCCCCTCATTTTACAGATACTGAAACCCCTGCTTTCCCAGGTTGTCGTAAGGATCAAACGAGATAATGTTAACAAAGCACTTTGCAGACTTTAAAATGTGATATTAATGCTGGCTATCATTATTGCCTAATAATCCTTTATGGATCATAAGACCATAGATTAGGACCTCTGACACCAAATTCCTATTTTATCCCACAGAGATAGCTTTTAATTCATAAAATTTTTGAAAAAGAATCTGAGATTTAAAAGTTTACAAATAGAGGAAGTAACTAACACATTGGTGTGAATAAGTTTCCTGGTAAAGAGAAGAAGAGAAACTAAGGACAAGGAAAATGCATAATATCTGGTCCTTTCCT